TAAGATGGACAAGAGAATAGAAATATGAATAAAATAACATTGGTAGCTTTAGAAGTGCGCTTGACCCAATCATGATGAAGTTCTTCATGTGCCTCACTGTGTTTTCATGCTTAACAGGGATCCCAAACCATTCGAGATAATGATCTGTCAAATCTTAGTTCTGACCATTGTTATTTTAGTTCTTGCAAAAACAAAATCATCAATTCAGAATCCAATATTTAAACAAGCCATTCTTTGAGGATCATAAGAAACTCAATCTATATTCTAGCATGGAAACTATCGTCAATTTCAGCTCTTTTCGTAGATTTCTTGACATTAGGAATTTGAGCAGCATTTATTCAAGCTTTTATAAATTTGTCCTTACAGGTAACATCTCTACGCATTGTGAGCACTAGAAGACAAAACCATTTAAAAACGGCTAGAACGAAAATGGAGCTCTCAATCACACAACCTGATGATTGGCATCTTCATCTTCGTGATGGTGAACTTCTTGACGCTATAGTCTCTCACAGGTTGGTATCACGAGGGCACTTAGCATAATAGACGTGTTTTTCTTGTCACTTGCACTGAAATTGATATTAGTTATATGCATTTCTTTTTGACTTTGATTTCGCTGAATTCATTTCGTTTTTCAAATTCTTCTTGATACTTCCTTTGAAAATGATGATGCATGCAGTTCAAATAACTTTGGAAGGGCCATAATCATGCCTAATCTAAAACCTCCTGTCACCAAAACATCTGAAGCCATGGCATATCGGGAGTCTATTTTGAAGGCATTACCAGAATCTAGTAACTTCATTCCTCTGATGACTCTTTATTTGACTGACACAACGACGCCTCACGAGATCAGACTGGCAAGTGAGTCCAATTTATATGGGCTTAGCTCATATTACCATTCAAACTGTATTGACATTGTAATGTGTATTTGCTGAGGCATACTTGTTGCTTGTAATGTGATGGGTTTTGGCTTATTGATATAACGGCATCAAAAAATGTAATTGAGACCACGTTTAGCTAAGCCTTTAATGTTACTCAAAATAACTTTAAGCTTAGCCAAACATATATGTAAGAGTTACTTTTTCAAGTGTCTTTTCTTGACAAACATGTTTCTACTTTTAGAAAATTACTGTTTTCCCAACAAAACATTCAGAAAAACGTGCTTCTTTTAAAGTAAGTCCTTTATTCTAAAAAGTAAGTTAACTCATTTTCTCAGGCTTTGCAAAACATGCTCAATTGCTCATACTCATTCGCTATTGCTAACTGTATTTATTATGTTGGGATTTTTCTTAATATGAGAATGTTTACAGTGACGAGAACATTGTTTCCATTTGCATGACTTGGGAAAAAGAGTAAAGTGTGGTTTGACCTGAAAACTTAAATATACATGAAAAGAATTCAGTGGGTATCTCAAAGTGCTGATGATTTGGTTTGCCTTTCAATTATAACTGGTTTTAGATCTTATAATGGTGGATCAATCTAGTTTTTGTTTTTGTAAAAATGATAGGTCATAACTTCAGTTCATTTTTAGATATTTACATACTTTTTATCCTTCATGACAACCATTAACTAGCTCTACTTTAAGCAATCTACTTGACGTTTTATTTCTATATTTATGTAATGCTTATGTTCCCCACCCTAAAACCCTGTTTCTGAAATAATGGAAAGAGAAATTGTGGAAAAAGTACAAATGTGCATAACTTTGTTAATTGTATGCTTTCAGAAACTGTCAAAAACTTTCAGTCACTAACCCTTTCAAAGGTAGAAGCTGCATAATTAAAGTTTTTGGAGGGTGCATTGCATGGAAGAGTTAATGGACAAATCTCATTTCTTTTCTTTTTGTTTCATTCTAGCTTTATGCATAATATAGAGCCTGTTGTCGCAGGGGAGAGTGGGGTTGTATATGCTGTGAAGTTGTATCCTGCTGGTGCTACTACAAATTCCCAACATGGTGTAACAGATCTATTTGGGAAGTGTTTACCTGTACTCGAAGAAATGGTTCAGCAAAACATGCCTTTGCTTGTAAGTTTGCCCACTCTAAGTGGATATTTGTGCCTAAGATTTGTTATGATATTTGTTTTTTCCTGGAATTACATGCTACTACTCTATTATCATAATTATTTATTTTCCATTGCTATTCTTTTGTTATATTCTTGTGATAGCTTACTTCAGATAAGTATGGGATACGAATTTCTTGAGTTGTTTAAAGGACGAGGTTTTTAAACTTCAGTATTCAGAAGCTGGAATCAGCTTCTTATGCAAGAAGTAGATTGTCATTTATGTTAATCAAAAAGTTTACTTGAGGAATCCGTTGGATAGTTACCTCTGAGGACTTTAATACATATTCTGAATACTTAAATCAATCAATCAATTCTAGAAGAGTCTCATTTAGATTACCAAGAATCATAGTTTATGTGACGACCCCTTTTTTGTTAAAGAAAAAAAATCTAGTTTCTGCACGCAGACTAGCAACGTGCAAACCTGATTAGTGATTTCTTATTTGTTTTCTAGTTCTCTTTTTTCCTTTCAGGCATCTATTTACTTTTGGGGTGCCCACCTGAGCAAGATCATATGTGATATTTTTGTGAGGTGGTTATTGTTTCACCATAATATTGCATTTCTTTTGGAAAATGATATCCATAGAACATCATAATGCGGTGGAAGTGTTGATATATTGCCTGTTTCTGATAATCATGCTAAAGTAAATCCCTTGTTCTAGTTTTGCTAAAACCCCAAACTCATGGTTGTAGAAATTATAGCATGTACATGCATTCAATATGCATAATGAGGTATGTATTGGTTTCAAATCATGTACATGCATTCAATATGCATAATGAGATATGTATTGGTTTCAAATCACTAAAGCAAGGAAGCATTGGTTGGAGTTTGGAATTGGAAATGTAAACTCTGTCCCCTTATATAGCCAAAATACTAATATTGATGTCATAATCCAACCATCAAAGGTTTTTTATATACTGTTTAGAAAGTTGTCTGCGATGTATAGCATTTGATCATTTTGACCTGAAAGGCTCTCGTGATCAAGAGATAAACAAATTCCACAATCTATTTGTGCATGGGCTATGTCCATCTGTAGACTCTACTTCAATAGATTTTTTCTTTCCTCTGGTTTATTGCACAACTGGGGAAGTCATCATCAGTCAAGGAAACTGCTTATACATTTCAACTTGTATCTGAAGGTCCATGGAGAGGTTACAAGTCCTGATGTTGATGTATTTGACCGAGAAAAGTTGTTTATTGACGAAGTTCTCAGTCCCTTAATACGAAAGTTTCCACGATTGAAGGTTGTGATGGAGCATATTACTACTACAGATGCTGTGAAGTTTGTCGAGTCTTGTTATGATGGCAAGTGTAATGCTTGATGATTATTGAACTCTGAAATTTTAAATAAAATGCTTTATTCTACTCTAAAACTTTCAGTATTTTTGGTTGCAAGGGAATTAATATATTTTTGTCTTATTAATAAATTTAAATGTTTATTCTGATTTCAATCATATTTTTTAGGATTTGTTGCAGCAACTGTCACACCGCAGCATATTGCTCTTAACAGAAATTCCCTTTTCCAAGGAGGACTGCAACCTCACAGTTACTGCCTGCCTGTTCTTAAGAGGGAGACTCACAGTAAGCCTTTCAATTCTTCCATATACTCTCTCATTTTTAACCTTTGCTTATTTCTTTTGGTCAAGGATGCAAATGTATAATACTCTACTTTAGTAGTTCAATTCCAACTGTATAATTTAGAATATAAATGAGTGTCCTTAGTAGAAGCAGATATAATTTCTGTGCTGCATATTAGTGATGATAACTCTGGAAAAATTATCTTCTTTTTTCTGTTGATCTTATAAACAAGTTCGTTATCTCATTTCCATGAATGGAGAGTTCAGAGGTGGATATCATTGGATTTGCTGATGTTTTGCGAGACATTTTAGCTTTACATGTAAAAAGTGAATAAGCCTTTTGGCCTAGGGTAACAAGTTGAAAAGTTTGAGACAGATTATGGGAAATATTTGAACCTCTTTTTTGGTTGGACAGTGGACCAAACAAAGAAG